ATTTTAAGTGTACAAGACTTCTCCCATTGTGAAAGATTAGATGTACGCAACTTATTCGACTTGTGCGAAACTTTTTTTGTAAGATGGTCAAAAATAAAAAGGAAAACATGAGAGTTGACTAGTGTGTTTAGGGAGGGGACCTAAATGAGAGAAAAAGGAGTGAGTGGGGGAGGGTCACAAAAACAATTCATTTTCAATATTTCCTAATCATTTGTTATTTTTCTTTCATAATTTTATTTTATTTAATATCTTATATGTATTCATTTTTTTTTTTTAATTTTAACGAGGAGAGTCTTGACATTCCAATCTGACTAGTATTGATCTATTAGCCAAATAGCAATCATTGGATAACCCTCATTGAGATAATTGGATGCAATAGTACAATGGACTAAGAAATTCCTTGAGATTTCACGTAATCTATTAAAAATTTGTATATCTTGTTTGGATATGTAACTAATCTTTTTTATAAGAAATTTATAGAGAATTTCGAGTTAAAAGGAATATGACTTTCTAAAATCTTAGAAAATGTAATATATTTTTACTAAACTTGAAGGAGTATCATTGGCAAAATCTTGATAAAAAAGATGAAAAGAGTAATAAAAACTATCATGAGTTTAAGATGCTGTGGGGCGCAAAATCTTTTTGGTCCACTGTTATATATTGGGGAAAAAGGAGAAGAATGGGTTGAAGATTTTGGTGCTTTGTGACAAACACTTTTACATTAAAAAAAGGAATCTATTAACTTTTTCCTTTTTATTTCTATTGTATTAATTTTTTAGGTTCATTAATTTAATATTTAATTTTAATAAATCAATATCATTCCTGTAATTTAAACTAAGTTAACATTCGATCTTATCTAATCAACATAAAATTAATATTTAATTTAATTAAATTAACATTCAGTTGCATTAATTTAATATTTCATTTCATCAAGTTAATATTATTTTTTTTTAATCTAACACTAAATTATTATTTAATTTCATCAAATCAACACCAAATTGACATTTAATTTTATCAAATTAAAATTTAATTATATTTAAAAAATATTAAATTTTATTAATTTAACTTTTAACCTTATCAAATTAATGTCATTTATTTAATTTAACACAAAGTTAATACTCAATTTTATCAAAGCTGCATTCAAATTTATTCAATTAATATTAAATTTTATCAAATTAACGCTAAATTAACATTAAATTTTATCAAATTAATAACAAATTAAAATTTATATATATCAAATTAAGACCAAATTTATTCAATTAATATTAAATTTTAACAAATAATATTTGATGGTAAAATTTCACATTAATTTAATAAAATTTAATGTTGACACAATAAAACTGGATGGTAAATTAATAAAATTGATAGTTATTAAATTGAATTTTAATTTGGTATTTGTTTAATTAAATTGAATGTTAATTGGATGAATTAAATACAATTTTGATGAATATGACTATTAATTTGATAAAATTTGAAGTTTAAGGCCTCTATTGGTAGCTTAGAGCATATATAATGGGGCAAAAAGTTTAGGGTATTTTAGTCTATTAACATAATAAATAATAAGTTTGACATTTTCAAAGAAGAAGTAGTCAAGTCGTACGCTATTTTTAATGTTAGAGACGGAAGTTAGTGTTAAAAGGTGTCAATAATTCTACATTACAAACTNTTAGTCTATTAACATAATAAATAATAAGTTTGACATTTTCAAAGAAGAAGTAGTCATTTTTAATGTTAGAGACGGAAGTTAGTGTTAAAAGGTGTCAATAATTCTACATTACAAATTNCTTTTTTTGTAAGATGGTCAAAAATAAAAAGGAAAACATGAGAGTTGACTAGTGTGTTTAGGGAGGGGGCCTGAGAGAAAAAGGAGTGAGTGGGGGAGGGTCACAAAAACAATTCATTTTCAATATTTCCTAATCATTTGTTATTTTTCTTTCATAATTTTATTTTATTTAATATTTTATATGTATTCATTTTTTTTTTAATTTTAACGAGGAGAGTCTTGACATTCCAATCTGACTGGTATTGATCTATTAGCCAAATAGCAATCATTGGATAACCCTCATTGAGATAATTGGATACAATAGTACAATGGACTAAGAAATTCCTTGAGATTTCACGTAATCTATTAAAAATTTGTATATCTTGTTTGGATATGTAACTAATCTTTTTTATAAGAAATTTATAGAGAATTTCGAGTTAAAAGGAATATGACTTTTTAAAATCTTAGAAAATGTAATATATTTTTACTAAATTTGAAGGAGTATCATTGGCAAAATCTTGATAAAAAAGATGAAAAGAGTAATAAAAACTATCATGAGTTTAAGATGCTGTGGGGCGCAAAATCTTTTTGGTCCACTGTTATATATTGGGGAAAAAGGAGAAGAATGGGTTGAAGATTTTGGTGCTTTGTGACAAACACTTTTACATTAAAAAAAGGAATCTATTAACTTTTTCCTTTTTATTTCTATTGTATTAATTTTTTAGGTTCATTAATTTAATATTTAATTTTAATAAATCAATATCATTCCTGTAATTTAAACTAAGTTAACATTCGATCTTATCTAATCAACATAAAATTAATATTTAATTTAATTAAATTAACATTCAGTTGCATTAATTTAATATTTCATTTCATCAAGTTAATATTATTTTTTTTTAATCTAACACTAAATTATTATTTAATTTCATCAAATCAACACCAAATTGACATTTAATTTTATCAAATTAAAATTTAATTATATTTAAAAAATATTAAATTTTATTAATTTAACTTTTAACCTTATCAAATTAATGTCATTTATTTAATTTAACACAAAGTTAATACTCAATTTTATCAAAGCTGCATTCAAATTTATTCAATTAATATTAAATTTTATCAAATTAACGCTAAATTAACATTAAATTTTATCAAATTAATAACAAATTAATATTTATATATATCAAATTAAGACCAAATTTATTCAATTAATATTAAATTTTAACAAATAATATTTGATGGTAAAATTTCACATTAATTTAATAAAATTTAATGTTGACACAATAAAACTGGATGGTAAATTAATAAAATTGATAGTTATTAAATTGAATTTTAATTTGGTATTTGTTTAATTAAATTGAATGTTAATTGGATGAATTAAATACAATTTTGATGAATATGACTATTAATTTGATAAAATTTGAAGTTTAAGGCCTCTATTGGTAGCTTAGAGCATATATAATGGGGCAAAAAGTTTAGGGTATTTTAGTCTATTAACATAATAAATAATAAGTTTGACATTTTCAAAGAAGAAGTAGTCAAGTCGTACGCTATTTTTAATGTTAGAGACGGAAGTTAGTGTTAAAAGGTGTCAATAATTCTACATTACAAACTAGAAAGGGATAAAGTGAAATTTTAGAAAGAGAATGTATTATTAAATTTAAAATTAACTATAAGAAGTATGGATAAAAATTTTTCCTATGTATTAGTGGTGATTTCGTCCGAACCATTATTCCTTTTTGGACGATGATGGGGGAGAAGTGAGTGCCGACGGAGGACCACGACAGCATTTATCACAATGCCGGTCAACACTGGCAGTCGCCCACAATTGAGGTCCATTATTTCCGCGTCGCATCTCAGCAGATAACTACTGGTTCTTGCAGGCCACTGACCCACTCCTTCAACCACCGAATCTTTCTTTCTTTTGACAAAATGGGTCCGTGTCGTTTGACCATTTACGGCAGCTACTACCACTGAGGTTCAAAATTTTGTTTCCGCGATATTTCCATCTTAAAATAGATCACGCTGAAATCGAGACCGTGTGGTCTTTGTATCTCTTTTGATGTGGCGGAGACTCGGTGTTGACTGGGCTGCCCATGCGGCGGGCCGACATGCGTAGGGCGGTGTACACGTGTAAGGAAATGTCTAGAGTGACGGCCTCTTTGTATGCCTGTTACCACCATTCTGTTTGCATACCAAATCTAATTCGCCAAGGCCCAAGATCGACCACTCCGAATCCCAAACATTACCTTTGTCATGGATCCAATGAGTTTATTGCGAGGGGTTGAAGGGATCAAGCAAGCGAATGACTATTAAACGAGGTAGACATGAATTTAATACAGTTTAAGTTTAATTGTATTAAAAAAATCAACCAAAAACTAATCCAATTTTAAAACTCGATTCATTGGTCAAACATGAATTGAGAAATCTAACACGACTTAAAAAGCACAATATAATCCTTAACAACTCTCATTAGTCATTAGGGATTCAAGAAAACAAAAGAAGAATATGCTAATGAACCGATAGACAACCACATGACTCTTGCAAAATTAAATTTTTACCTGTAACATTCAATTAAGGTGTTGATCATTAAGTCATATTGGGATCATGATAATTTGGGCACATACAATATTTGTGCTAGAACCTAGGGGACTAATCTCCTTGTGTCTCTCAGCTAAATTTACTTGATATTGGTCTTTCATAAATTAACATGCCTGGTCGAAAATCAAATTAAATATACTTTACTAATTAAAAAATTCAAACAATATTATATTAAGAAACAAAAAAATATAAAAAAAAAATTAAATTTCTCCTCATGACCAACACTAGTTAAAAATGTTATTTGGGTTATTCACTAACATGACCAACTTATTATTTGCTTTAATTTATTCGTATCATTTTTGAGTTCCTTTCGCGTTGTAAAATTGACACCCCAATATTGGATCATATACAATAATGTCGCCATAACTGCAGCTTAAAAACTAAGCAAAAAATTGGGTAGTTTAAATGCAAAGAAGTGAGTGTATAAGACGATTGAAAGACAATGCCTGATCATAAAATCAGACTACATTTTTCCTCTACTTTCCATATGAACAGGCTCTACAACCAGTAAAAACCAACATTAAACTAGAGAATGAAAATTGCTGCATCGACAGTCTATTAGACCTGTTATCGTCATGAACAAGAAGTTCATTTCTCCCCTTCTTTCGGAAATCTTTTCTGCTGTTGAAATGGAAATAAATCAGTAACTGGTCTTGAAGGGCAGGTAAACTTTGAGATCAGTAAGAACTCCGGCAAAGGACCCGACCGCGGCGGCAATGGAGATTATTAGGCAAGTAACGCTTAAGATTTGAAGGCAAAGCCATCTAGTGCTCCATTTTGGTATCTGCTTTTGCACAATGTACATCTCCACTGGGAAATAAACTGTGAGTGGCCAAAACCCAAACGCTCCAAGAATTCCAACGATATCATTGAAGAATGGAAGAAGCATTGATATGATTGTGGTTATGATCACAAAAATTGTCCTCCAAATCACTCTGAAAAGATTGAGTTTGTATGGCTTGAAGCCTGGGATTGGGATTTCGATTTCTTTGGTGATGAATTGACTGTTGGGAAACCACTCTGCAGCAGTTTTTTCAATGAAGGCAAAGAGGGGTTGGCAGAAAACTTGGTATGCACCAACAAGGTGGATGACTATGGCAGCATTGGCTATGTCAAGCAGCCAATATGGGTTATAAAACCCGAACCCGGTTAGGAGGTTTCCAGGTGCCATGTCTCCGAAAGCAGCGTAGCCAAAGCAGCCACAGGACATGTAGAAAATGGTTGTTACTGCCACACTTAGTAGAGTCGCCTTCTCCATTGTCTTGGCTTCTGTTGGTGGGGATTTAACTGTGTCCTGTCATATATATATGCAAGAAGCCAAAATTAGTAAGCAAAAAAATACCAGAAAATGGAAACAACGGAATATTTGCTGAATTTAAGAGAGAGAATATACCTGAATTTCAATAAGGATTAGAGAGTAAGAATATGCAAAAGCTATGGCTCCAAGTGCTTGGAAGCTCCTCCATATTTTTTGGGCTTGAGTTACAGTGCCAATGCTTATTCCAGTCAGACTTCCTCTGAATTTTCCAGTTTCTGATCATGAAAAACAAAAAGCTATTAGATAATTGCATATGTTGTACTTCTCTCTAACAACTTAAGCTTTTAGAGTATTTTGTGATTCGACCTGAGTCAATCTGCCTTTAATAGAACAAATTTAATTGACTCTTGAACTACAGAACTTAAAACTAGGACTAAATTTCAAATTGAAGCTCATTTTACCAGCAACTTTTCCAACTCCAAGGCCAAGGCCGATTGAAGAGTAAGTGAATGACATGACTGCTGCAACAATTGAGAGCCATGATATCTGATCAAAGTCTGGAATCTGAGAGAAAATAATTTCTACCGCACCAAACACAATCATGTAAGGATTGCTTGATATTTTGCAAGGATTTTTCCCTCCCCTCTCATGGAAGCAATTAGACCTTTTGATTGCCCTGTTTGATCAAGAACCAACTCACCCATTAGCCCAAAAATTCCCAAACATCAATTGAAATAGAAAAGAAATTGTTTTCAAAATTCATACTCACTTCATGCTTATAGATGCTGCAATGGTGTATCCAATAGCAACTCCAAACAGATTCAAGTACTGAATTATCCCACAAATTTTGACTTTATCACCACCTGAAAAGATTAGGAAAACATTGAATTCAGATCAATTTTTGAAGTTTCGAAAAGAACCCACTTACCAATTTGTCTGAAACTTTACAATTGGATGAAATTTTACCAAGATTGGATCTAACAGCCTCCATGTAAGTATAGTTTCTCTTGCCAGTGACAGGGTCTCCAGAACGGTAACAAGCAGCGAGTAGAGTAGAAGTGTAGTATGTCACAAAGGAGAACAAGAACAAGACAGTCGGACCGGCAATCCATCCCAGCTGCGCAGTTGCCCAAGCCAAAGACAGAACTCCAGACCCGATCACAGCTGTGATTATGTGAGCACTTGCTGTCCAAACAGTCCCTATTTGCATACAATCAAGCAAAATCCTGAGCATCCCTCAAAGAGAGAGAGAGAGAGAGAGAGAGAGAGAGAGAGAGAGAGTTCAGAACTGTAATTCTGCAAAGTTGTGGAATATACCAGTTCTTTTGAGGCGACCATCGTCGTCGAAGCATTTGGCACCACCCTGAGGCGGCACATTGAGCGAAACATCAAACACTTGGAGATGAGCATGATTCTGGGTCTTTGAAGCAGTGTTCTCACCCATCTTTGTTATCAAAAGAAACCTAAAACAATTAAGTTCTTATCTGTTTGGAATGATTTGCAGGAAAAGAAAAAAGCTCTCCTTTTCCACTGAATAATCTTTAAATTCAGTGCACACAGGGATAGTGAGTTTGTGTCCAATGGACACACTTCTCAAGAAAAATACAGAAACCCAAGTGGATTTAAGATTTCTATCAAGATGGGTAAGCTTAAATTGAACAAGGACAAAGAGGGCTAGAAGTCGTTTCAGTTACAAAGTTGATAGTAACTGAGTGAAAGAGAATGGAGTGAAATGAGCTGGGTGTACTGACAGGAGGGAATGGACGGGGTATAAATGGGGGGTCGAAGAGGGAGGAAAAAGGGCCAGAATAGCCACGTGACAAAAAAGGACAGTTTTGGAAAACTCACTCACCAAAACGGCACCGTTTTGGGCCCAGCCTCAACAAAACAAGCGCATGTCTCTCCATCTCCTGATTCTTCTTCTACAAGACGTCAATTGTTACTTAGAGTTTGTGAAGTGAGGTCATGCCAGACAGAACCATTGTCATAAGCTTATTTTCTGAATTCCAGTAATACAAAAAAATAAATAAATAAGAAAGGAAGAAGTAAACACACACTTTAACAGCAATGGAATGCAAAAATGAATTGATAAAGCTAAACATCAACACATGATCTCTTTATATTTTGCCTGCATGTTCAATCTAACAAGGAAAAAAATAAGCATAACAAAAACAAATTAACAACACCTACCCATACCCATTCTCAGGACTGTCATGTGGCATAGCAAAGCCAGATAAGAAAGCCCCACCACCACCATCGCCGCTTTGGCTTTGGTACCTATTTTCGATTCCGCCTTTTCGCCGCCCTCATCACCTCCCTCACCTTCTTGTTCCCCGGATCCCACAAGGACCCCGTGCTCGCACTCAGATCCAACGTCCTCATTTGAATGCAATCCACCCCTATCAACGGCCGCGATTTCTTCGGTCTTCTTCACCCCATCCTCAGACTCGACTAGGCACATGATCTCAGCGAGAGTCGGGGAGAAGCTGAGGAGGAAGAGGCCATAGAGGCTCTCACCATTGTTGAGGCGGGACTTGAGGGTCTGTGGGGGCACTGTGGTGGTGGTGGGTGTGGTGGCGGAATAGGTGGAGTGGGGTGAGGGATGAAGCGAAGGTGGGCTTGGTGGCGATGGTTGGGTCCAAAACGGTGCCGTTTTGGTGGGTTGAATTTTCTCAAAAAATTATTAAAAAACCGGAGGAGAAAAGCTGCCGTTCCGTTAAAATGTTATTTGAACTTAAAATGTATACTTAATAATCAAAATTATTAAATAGATAATGAGTCTTAATAAATACTGTGACTCATAATAAAATTAATAATTATGATTGTCAAATATATATTTTAAATCTACTTTTTAAATTTATATTGCATTGTTCTTCCATTAAATTGTACATCGTGCGATCAATTTCCCTTATCATAGACTAGTTGATTTAATGATGTGGTATTAGTGTAACTAATAACGTTCTTGATTAAATGATGGTCTTGCCTGTAACTAATTAGTTATAGACAAGCTCATAACTAATATCATTTTTGATTCCAATCAACCCACGGAGAGAGTTAGACGTAAAAATTTGATTTAATTTGTTCATTTAATGATGTGGTATTACTGTAATCTTTATATTAACACTAAATTTCAATATTTGATGGGGTCATAGTCAATCAANAAAAATTTGATTTAATTTGTTCATTTAATGATGTGGTATTACTGTAATCCTTATATTAACACTAAGTTTCAATATTTGATCGGGATCATAGTCAATCAATATATTATAATAAATTAGGTCAACAAATTATGTCAATAAATAAAATCCAAATATCATTGCTCTTTTTACATAAGATAGTAATTATCTTACGTGGAGTGATAGTAATTATCTTTTTTCATTAAATGTTCTTCTTTCCTTGGAAGAACACCTTTGAAGCAATATAATTTCAGTTTGTGGCTTCTCATTCACCAATGGTGGCACAGAATATACGGTTCCTTTGAAAATAATAACCCTGTTAATGGAATATTATTGTTATATACCCCTTCTATACTCTATATGTTACCTACTAATGTAAACTTGCAGATAAACTGATGGTTAAACATGATATTGAAAGTGTAAACAATAAGTCCATTCCAACTACGTTTTACTAAGATTGCTACATAATCAGATGAATAGATTACTCAAAAGACACGTGTAAAACAGTAAAAGTTATTTGAACGAGGTATGTTATAAGTAGTTTTACTCTCATTTTGGCAAAAACTAATCCTAGATTTGAACCGAATGGTACATCACCTTAACTGATTAACACTAGTCATTATTCTAAATTTGAGCACACCAACAAAAGAGTTAAACGTATATTTGAAGATGGTTTAACACTTTCTCAAAAAGAATAACACAGGTACAATAATTATATATTTGGATTTGAGAGCATATCAATTCTCAGTCAAACATTTCTTAGGTAGCATTTGATTGGAATAATCCCAAAAGGGTTTAAGCACTTAGCATTTGGTGATTATAAGCACAAATCATTGCCATGATAGTTGATGGACATTGGGCAATCAGAATCATATTCTCATCTGTAGTTCCCAAAGACTGAGGAAAGAAAGGTTAAATTTTGCAATTTAATTTAATGAAAATTAGAATCAAGTATAATATGAGGAACTCTTTTGTCAATAAGGACATATGCAATCTCTCTGGATGATTACCGATATATGTTATGTATTTTTTTATAAGTATGTCCAATAGTCCCCTTTTTTTTTTTTTTTTTCCTATTTTCACCTTTAGTGGATCACGCATATCATTTCAAGACTTCTTTCTCTTCCTTTAATTTCTCACTTCTCTCCCTTATATTTTATATCATTCTTTATCTCTTCTCTCTCACCATCTTCGTTTCAATTTATTGCCAGATTGAAGACATCACAACATCACAGAACGAAGAAATGGAGTAGGTTGTTATCATGATCAAGTCTGATTGTGTTCAAAGAGGACTGGTTTGTTCATTCCCATCCACATCAAGCTCTTTTTTTTTTTATTCATTCTTCATTGTTCTCTGTGTGTGATTCTTTTTTTTTTTGTTTGATTTTTGTTGGTGAGCCATTTTCTAGGTTGTTGTTTTTCTTTTTTCTGTGAATCTCAAATTTGTTCTGTTTGGTTGGGGAGAAAGTGTAAGAGAAAAAAAAGATGGAATTTTTTCATTAAACAGTAACAGAGACACTGTTACTGTCGTGAGACAATAATAGTGACATTGTTACTGTCCCGAAAATAGTAACAAAAAGTATTTTTACTATCCCACAGTAGTAATAGAGGCACTGTTACTGTATATATCTATATAATAAATCAGTTAACAAGTTGAATCTTTATCTGTTATACATTTTCCTTCTAAAAAATCACATCACTAAATTCTATCATATGTTCAAGCATTTAATATTAGTTAATTTGTAGTTTAACACAACTTTTATTTCATTTATTATTCATACGATAGTGTACACATGTTGAAAATTTTTTATCAAGTTATGCATTATAAGAAAATTTTGATGCTATTTTTAAGAAAATAATAAGTAGAAATAAATTTTAAATTTAGTATAGTGGGATTAATTTTTAGAAGGCTATAATCTTATGTTTTATCGTGCCTATAGACATAAGTTATGATTAGTATATATATATGCGTCATAGTGTCGTAATGCGCGTTCTTTATTTTTGTATATATATTTATGTATATATATGTTTATTTTTGTACATACGTGTATGTATATAAATAAAGGAGATTTGAATTTATTTTAAATTTTGAAATGTGGATTTTATATGGATAGTTTAATTATAAAAAATCTAAAACTAAGGAGATTTGATTTTATTTGATTTTTGAATTGTGTAATTGATTTTGTTTGATTTTTGTATTGCGTTTTGAAATAGATTTGTGTTTTTTTGGTCTTTGTACAAATACATGTCCTTAAAATCCCAAAAAGTATATCCTTAGATGTTTCCTCCTAAAAGTCCAAGACACTGTACCGATTTCCAAAAACCCTTTTAATTTATTTGTGGCCAACTCATTTATATTCAAGTATAGTCCGGCCTGGGTTGTGTACATTTATAATTAGATCAACTATATTCATTTATAGTTGAGTTCGTATCATGAATAATAAAGTTTGTATTGACTCATTTATAAAATAGGTTTAACCAATCAATTTAATTTTAAAATGAATCTATTAAAGTTAAACTTATATCCGATGTGAATAATGTATGTTTTACCCTACAGCAAAATTTGATTATGTATTTTTACGAGACTATAATGAGGATCCCACTAGGTTTTGGTGCTGAATGTCCCGACTCCAAAAAAAAGAAAAGAAAAATACCCTCAAACTCCTTGCCAACTTATCTCAGATGTAACTAATTAGAATATTTCGAATTTACAATATAAAATATGACAGATTTCAATAAATCTATCCGCTGGTAGCAGTGAGGTGACACATTTTAAACCTAGCCAAAGTCACTTAATTAATCTTGTAATCAAAATCAACTTTAGTCTCAGTGGTTAGTTTTATAGGTCACATGTTTATAATGTGCCATTTTAATCCCGTCAACCATCTTATGTTTCTAGGGATGTCTAACTATTTATTCTGTTCGGGGGTCCTCCTAGTGATGAGACATTTTCAAAATATTCTAAAATGAAGACACGTGTCCTCGGTGTCACTAAATTCTTGTTATTGTGATCACAACACGTACCTATTGGTTCACAAGTCCCTCTCCCCCCGAGGTACTGGTCGTAGGGATCAATGACATCCAGTACGTTTACGTACCGACACGTACCCCTCGGTCGGGGGGATATGGTACATCGGTCCCTATGTGTACTTCCTTCTTGGTTCCGAGGAGTACCGTCCAGGATGACATTCTCTGCTCCTGCAGAGCTATCGATGTACAGGCCACTAGCCTAGGCTATGTTAGCCATCATGACCTCGTCTTACACAATTAGTGTCAGAAGACTCAAGAAGGCAGGGGACACAACCAATGGAGAATGAACGCGTGACATATTGTGTTACATCAGAGACACAAAGACCGGATGCCCTTGCTGACATACGACTTGGGAAAGCAAGCATTTAATTACACCATTCCCTTGATGAGACAACATTTAATGCGGTAAAGCTCGGAAGTGAAAGATAATAAATGTCTCTAAGGCTGGACATTTATTACATCCTCCCCGAGAGGAGCTCATTGAACAGTCGGCAGGCCGATGACACAGCCTTGGTTGCTTGGGATCCCAAGCAGTTAAAAAAGAAGACATTCCTCATAGGAAACCATAGACACGTTACCTGTACCTAATGATCACCTACTGACCACACTGACAGCAATCATAAGTTTTTAAGGTATAAATACTCCTCACAAAAGGCAAGACGGTAGGCAACGAAAAACCTTGGCTACAAATTATACTCAGTGTTTTCTTCTTCCTCTCTCTCAAAAAAACTGACTTGATCGTCGAAGGGGATAGGCCGAAAAACACTCTGGCGCCCTTCTAACATGTCTTTCTTTGTTTCAGGAACCTTTCTCAGCCTTACTCGAATTCATCAAGAGAGAAATCTGTTATCGTGTTTATATTGTGCAAAATCTAGCACGCACAACTAGTAAATAGAGTCGGACTCTCATTCAACTTTATTCTGATAGTCTCTTTTTCTGAATATATATATATATATCGTTAAGCTCTGTCCAACCCACATTTTCCTTGCTCAAGAACTCAATTTTGTTTGGGTACGTTACAATATACTCAGCCGAGTAGTTTACTCGGTATAATATATCATTTTCGATCATGGCAGAGCTATTTAAAACAATTCCTTTTGACACGTGATGACTGTCACGTGTTTAAACTTAGTTGGCAAATCATGGTTTGTAAACCCTAAATTCCTTCAGAAGCAAACATCATTGAACTAAAGTAATTAAAAATTTTGCAAAAACTCAGAAAAATATCGAGACCAGGGTATTAGCAGTAAACTTAGCAATCAAAATTCAATCCGAACTCGATTTCTTGGAGATAGATTGACATATTTAACTGACTATTTGAATTTGAAGCTAAAATTCAGGTTAGGAAATATACAAATACCCAATTCAATTATAATTCAATATGGTAAATTAAAATTAAGCTGGTAAAACTTATGCTTAATTTGACATTTTGAACAGATGGAATTTCTGATTTTTAACATATTCGGATGTGCATTATGCAGCTCAAATCCGACAGACGATCAAATTAGATTTGAATCAAAATTTTTAAGTCCAATTCAAATTAATATCAATAAAATCCGATCTTAATCAAAACACAACCCTAATTAGGAGTAGTAAAGTCTTTGTTCTGCATGATCATTGGGCACTATTATCTGTGTCGTTTGTTGATGCTGGCTTCTCTTTGCCTCATACTTTCTTTGGGTTGTGTCTGTTGGTAGTCGCTCGGAAAATAATTTTCCACTGTTCCTTTTGCCTTTTTCAATTAAGTGGGTATCAAAGCTATAGGGGGCCACAGGGGCGTGATTGTTTGAAATATCTTGGTACGTACAATAATTTCTGT